TATATATATTATTTGAACCTGAAATAATAATAATAATAATATTAACCGGAAATAATAATAATAATTTATGTTATATATATTATCTCAATTGTGATAGTAATGTATATTCAAATTGTTAAATCAATTATTTAACTTCTTAATCATTTTTAAAAATTTTATAAATGTAGTTCAAATGTCTTTGTTAAAATGTCCAATATATATATTTGAAAAAAAGATAAAATAAAATGGCACAAATGTTATAATTTCTTTTGTTATGAAAAAAATACTTGTTCATAACTATTCATATTATTATATTATATATACTTTTATAATATGTAAAAATATTCACATTTTGCAAAATTAATTTCAATTTGGCAATTAAGAGTTTTTTGAACCAAATATTTACTAAGGCTTTGTTTGTAAAGTCTTAATTATTTGCCCATTGAAAAAAAAAATGAGTATTCTTATTATTGAACTATATATAATACAAATTATATTTCATCAATTATAATTCACAAAAAAAAATGATTTTTTAATACTATAATTACTTATAGCAATGATTTTATTTCTTGATCATTCAAGACCACACGGCAAGCTGACGATGATGTTCCAGATATGACAAATGTATATTACGATAAAGACCTCCACCAACAGAAGTATCGAATTACTCAAACAATGATTTCTTCCTCCTATCTCTTCGTCTCTTCCTCTCAGTGCCAGTGAAGCAATGGCCTCCTACGACAGGCAGAAGGAGATAAAATCCTTCGACGAGACCAAAGCCGGCGTTAAAGGCCTCGTAGACGCTGGCGTTACCGAAGTTCCTCTGTTCTTCCACCACCCGCCGGACGGTATAGAAGTTCGTCAGCCGACCTCTGCTGCCGGGGCAGAAATTCCCGTCATTGATCTCGGCATAATCAACGGAGACAGGGCGGGGCGGGAGAAAGTGGTGGAGCTCGTGAGAATGGCATCGGAGAGGTTCGGTTTCTTCCAGGTGTTGAATCACGGGATTCCTCTGGCTGTGCTGGACGAAATGCTGGAAGGCGTCAGGAGATTTAACGAGCAGAAGTTGGAGGCGAAGATGACATATTACTCGCGCGATCTGAACAGAGCTGTGTACTTTAACTGCAATTTTGATCTGTTTCAATCTCCGGTGGCCAATTGGAGGGATACTCTTTTCTGCACGATCAAGCCGGAGCCTGTCGCCAGGCCGGAGGAGATGCCGGAAGTTTGTAGGTACTACACCCAATCTTAGTCTTTGATTAATAGAATTTAATCATATATTTAGCTTAAATCAGGCAATAGAAGAAATAAACACCAAGTAGATCCTATTTTTTCTTGGACTTAAATTCAGAATTATGAAACGGATTTATTGGGTCGTGGCTCGTGAACTCTTTCGCCGCACACTGGCCCACACTGGATTTTATAAATTTGGATTTTATATGATTCCATAAATCCTATTTAACATAGATCTAAGTTGTATATAAATCCGAATTAAACAATAGACAACAGGAACTCGCGCAACGCCGGACTAAATCCGGCTCGCTGTCCGGATTTACTAAATCTGGATTTACATCGAACAGGTGACGGAACATGAGAAAAGAGCGACATAACATGAACAGAGCGTTGGATTTATTATTATTATTATTTTTTATATTTGTCTTGATTTAAATTAAATTCATGACTGAATCAGATAATAAGTATGCTACCAAACATTTCCTAATAGCCTTTAAAGCCAGTAGATGAATTATAATGAGAAAAATCAAATTTTTAGAAACTCGTCATATCGTACCTCTAGAAATATTTTGTTAAAGCTATCACTTTCGGACTTATTTAATTGTGAAAAAAAAGACGCCATTCCCATTATAAAAATTCATATAATTGTATTAAACAATTTAAGTAAACCAAACCAATTGATATCTTAAGCTTTTCTTAGCTTATAGTACTTTCATCTTACCTAAGGCTTAGCTTAACATAATTTCAATGGAACTTTATGGATGTAGAAATATAATTATGGAATACGGAATGCACGTCCAAAAGTTAGGGCATCTTCTATTCGAGTTGCTATCAGAGGGACTCGGGCTGGAAACTCAATTTTTGAATGATTTGGAATGTGGGAAAGGGTTGTCTCATTTGAGCCACTATTATCCACCATGCCCTCAGCCAGAGCTGGTTGTTGGGACAAGCAAACATGCAGATCCAGACTTCTTAACTGTTCTTCTTCAAGATAATATTGGTGGATTACAAGTTCTTTATGAACATCGATGGATTGATGTCCCCCCAATTCATGGAGCTCTTGTTATTAACATTGGTGATCTTCTACAGGTAACCAATTTAATTTTCTTAATTAGTAGTTTTGTTTTGGCATACCAACGTACACCTCCCAAATATCACAACTTTAACTTTTATAAAGTGAAATAATTTTTTTTTCTTGCATTGGTAAGTTGACCTTTATCTAAAAATTAAACTTTAGTTGTTAGATATGTAAATAGATAAAAAATTGAGTAATATGTGTGTATCTTTTATTTCTTAAGGAGTTGTGGGGGTAAAGTCTCATTGTGTGTTATTTGTTACTATTTTAAGAAGGATACTATATAAGATGCTATATTTTAACTAAAATATTTTGAAGTGTGATCGATATATGTAAGAAAATAACAGTTGAATTTTATAAAATAAATGTTATTTAAAATAATTGCTGTGCCAGAGAATTCATAGTGATAGAGTGATTAATTAACCTCTTAGCGTTGCACGAGGACTCAACACACACTAAGGTAATAGAAATGATTGTTAGAAACACCAGAAATATTTTTACATGGAAAATCCTTGAAATAGAAAAAAAAACCATGAGTTCTAGCCCATTTGAAATAATTTACTATGAATGGTAAATGCACTGGTCCATTTTCTCCTGAGTTAGAGAATATGGAATTACAAATTGTATTTTGGTAACATTACTATAATTCTTTGCAACATCAGGCTACAAGGGCCATAGTCGATTGTTGCAAAGGTATTAATCTGTCATAAGTGTTGTAAATGGTGGTTGTAACATTGGCTTATCGTAGAAATCGTAGTTGATAATCATGACATTAGTTGATCAGATGGGTCGTTGACGGTTGTTTCAGGAGTGTCGGTTGGTCATAGAGGCTGTAGTAAGGAGTTGTGAGAGCTCTTGACCATGTAGGTTGTATATGTTGTAGTGGTAAGCTGCAATGACGTCTGTGAGTCGCAAAGGCGAGAGTCAAGAGCTGCAAAAATTGTGGATCAAGTGAGCCGTAATTGTTCGCGTAGGCAGTAGTGATGATTGTAATGATGTTCATTGGCTACGAGGGCCGAAGTTGGGAGCAACACGAGCGCATGCGAGGTGCATCGCTATCCCATCTTTGTGATGCACTATTGCGCCGCCTTCACGTGCGTTGTTATATAGACTTTGGGTTCAGCCCGTTCTTCGAGATATTGAGCCACTTCACAGGTTGCTTCGTGATTCCGGAACGCCAATTGTTGCTTCGCCCGATGCTTCGTCGCAAGGAGTGAGAGTCGACCGATGGTGATCAACAACGTCCAACGAGTAGTAGTCGACAGTGGTTAGCGGCTGCATGACTATGAGACAATTTCAACTCCTCTAAGCTTCAGTCTTCTTCAGGGTTAGAGCACTCTCACCCTTTTAAAGAAAGAGATTGGACTTTATTTATAGAGTCCCAATTATAATGAATGAAAGAATTTAAACAACTCTGATCGAAAAATTGGAAAGATCCCTCCGATTAGAAGGCGTTTCATGAACATTTGAATATCTTAATGATGTCGGAATTGAGCGATCTTAGGTTCCTTGGATTCGCTATGTCGTGCCGCTCGATTGAACTATTAGCTCACCAAATTTGACATCATTTGTCCTTCTAAATATGTCCGGAAAACTTACTAACATGGTTTAATAGCTTGATCGGGGCCTGATTTGGTTCAGATTTGACCAATTTTGATACAATTAGTTCAGTCTTGTCCAGCCAGTCAATTTGATTTAAATTTGCTGAAATCGGTGCTCTGGATGACTTTTAATCAAACTTTAAATATTTCTTGCTCAAAAGATTATCTCGAGTTCAGTGTTGGATGTTGAAAATTTATTGATGGAGTATCCCCCTACAATATATATTGATTTTACTCTATTTTTCCAGACAATCGTAGTCACTCCAGACATACCTTCTATTTTCTAAAATACAATAAGGTCTACTTTGGGTGGCTAAATTTGTTTGTAATAGTATGTAGATGCATGATTACTATGATCAAATTAATTCTCTTAAAGCTCGGTGTGAGGATTATTTTTGTTTTTATTTTATTTTTTTTAAAAAAACTTATGCAAGATAATAACAGTTTTTAAACAGAATCATAAAACCTTTTTTCCTAATAAAATTATGAAAAAAGATTGTCCAAACATCATCTAAGGGATGCTTGAGTTGCGCCCCAAATTTTTCTTTGGAAAATTGACACCGCACAAATCTTATGTATTTACAAATCTAACCCCCAAAATGTATACCTCACCTTTTAAAGGATTATTAATGCTTGTTTGAAGGTTCACGGTGGTAGAATGATTTTTCAATATTTTAGCACTCATTCCGGTAAAAGAGAAATAAACAGGAAAAAACACCTTAATTTTTATATCTGTTCTTTTCTTAATATTTGGATCAAAGTAAGATTGTTTATATAAAATATTAAATAATCTATTCAATTACCTTTTTTATATAATGATTATTTTCATTTTCGATGAAGCAGCTGATTAGTAATGATAAGTTCAAGAGCGTTGAGCACAGAGTTTGTACAAGCAAGATCGGCCCAAGAGTCTCTGTTGCGTGTTTCTTTTCCCCACACTTTTGTCCATCTGAAAGGTCTTACGGCCCAATAAAGGAGCTATTATCACAGGAAAATCGTCCTAAATACAAAGAAGTTACTATAAGTGAATACGAACATGTTTATAACTCAAAAGGACTTGATGGTGAATCTGCATTGGACAAATTTAGGTTATGATCAATTATCAGATGCGTGATTTATATGTGTGGTCATGTGGATGCTTTAATAATGTTATTAGATTATTAATATATGAGTAGTTTGGTTTGATTGTTTTTGAAATAATTGTGTTATATAGTATTGGTAATAAAGTTATAAGGATTATATTTGCTTTTACATATATATCACTTAATTTCTATGTATTTAGGTCTACTTCTAACACATAAATTTCACTTTTGGCATTTATATCATAAAAAAATGTTCACATCACATGAAGATATTACTATTATAGCTTTTGAGAAAGTGAGATACATCTTTTTATACTTAGGTAAGGTGGTATGTACTTACAAATTAAATTTCAGGTCTTAAAAATGTAAAGACATGGAATTGAGTGGTATGTATGTAAAGCTTTCTTATTATAATTGCTTTAGTGTTGATTTACTCTTATAAGGAATGCATGATTGTAATGATGAAAAAACTATGTATTATATTAGTCATTAGGTCATTTATGCTGAGATAATCTAAATATAACTTAATTTTAATGTGGTATGTATTTACGTACCAAAATGATTTATTTTCAATGTAACAGTGTATTTATCAAAGAAGACTTTATATAATTATGAGTCAACCTATCAAATATAACTTGATTCTCTAGTTAGCCAGCTATTGCTAATTTTTTCATCAATAATTTATCATATTGTTGATAGAACTCATATCTTCTATAATTATTGAACATAAAGTGATAAACTTTATGATAATTATTTGTCATGAAATTCACCATGCAATTCTTGCAATATAACAAGTACCAAATTACATGATATCTCTAAAAATACCAAACAATGACTGCGTGGTAATATTATGTCTATTAGAGGCAAATACTAAAAGTTTAATTAAGGCAGTTGAATTTTTATATCTAATCATGAAATACATCCAATAATCATTATTGTCGATGTCAATGATTATACTACTATTAAATAAATCTATGTATTAGTAACTTGGGACATTATCATAAGCAAAGTGTTTCAAAATATTATATTCAAGAGCATGTCATCCATAATACTAGAAGATGTGCACTTTTAAGGCCTTGTATCCAAACACCTAATAAGAATGAATATACTTAAAATATCCTGAAGTGCTGAGCTAGAGATCAATATTTATCATCGAAGACTTCATTTAGCATGATCATATGAAATGATAATGTTTGAAAGAATGTTTCAAAGCACTCTCTTAAATATATGACAGTTTAATCATTATAATGAGAGTAGTTATATAAGGTAAGTTAATGCCTTCGTTTTCTTTATTTTTAAAATTATCATCTCTGGCTTCAAAATAATATCATATTTAATGAGCTCTTTCTAATTATATATTTAGAGAGATAGGATTGAGCTTGCCAATCAATTGAACCCATCGTGCCATTGAAAATAAGAAAAAGTGTTTTCAAGAATTGGTCAATTTCTCAATCTATTGTACCTCAATTAGTAGTTGCAACAAATAAGATTTTAAATTAACAATTAAAGGATATTTCTATATTGATTGATTCACCGAAATTCCGACAAACATGAAATGTGTGCTTGTTTCGTCTTATTTTGTAGGTTGTTTCTTTACTTGTTTGAGTTGCTTGTATCATTATAGCTGTGATATTAGTTTGTAATGTTTGTATGATGCTTTGGATTATCATCTTCACAAGAGCAGTCATATCGGAGGTTAGTGATTCAACAATTTCCATATGTTGGATAGCAGTGCTATGATAATAGTTAGGAGAATAAGGCTTCTGTAGCAATTCTCAAGTCATCGGTAGTTCAAGTGATAGCATCACCTCTTCTTTTTCGAGTCTTTTAATATAATGAGGCTAAACAAAAAAGCAATAAATAAATAATCTTAAAACACTACGTTAAATATAATAATAATTATTATAAATATCCTAAAATAATAGATGTTTAGGTTGAGCCAGTCTATAAGAATATCATAACTTTGGCAATAATATTTTATAAACTAAGATATAGGATATGCTTTGTACAAATAAAATAAGTTAGTATTTCAAATAACAATGTATATTAAATATGCCAACTTTGTTATTTCAAAAAAATGGGGGAACTTAAAAATCCATTCCAAAATCAGCTCTCAAGCCAATAATTCTATACATACACCTAACGAAGGAAGGAAAGGAGCAGATTGATTCAACCAGTGGGGCGCTTCATATTTTTAAAAATTACAATTTTTTTTGTTTTAAAATGGGGCATTTACGTACATACCACCCAATTCTTATGAATTTACATATCCAACATCTACTTTTTTATTACGCATTTATATTATACAAATATTTCATATCACATCAAAAATAATTTTTATTTTAAATTTTAAAATGTGAAATTCGGTTATATAAATTAAAGTTTAGGTGTGTTACTAGGGTTGTATATGAACCAATGCACTTGATGACCAACTTGAACCCAACTTGATTAATGCTCGATCATAGTTTTTCAAATTAGTAAATAAAAAAATTTGAACATAGTCTAACTCATCTATTAATATTCACATCAATCTTATTTATTGTTAAATGTTTTTTGCTTATATAATATTTCATTTAAATAAATTTTAATTCTCTACAACTAATTTAATTATTAGATACTAAAAATTAGCATATACACATTGAAATGTAATGTAATTAATATTAAGTACAAATTAATATTTTAACCTATATGAAAAATCAAGGAATCATTAAAACTTTTAGCTTATTTATTGATATAAACAGGCTAAATACATATCATCAATTATGATTACTAAAAGAATTTAAGAAAGTAAAGTATTAACATATATGCGAAATGTCCGCTCAAGCTTGAACCAATAACTTATGATTCAAACAAGCAAAATGTAATCATGACATGCTCAACTCGACTCGGCTCAATTACAGCCATACATGTTAGATATATAAATACATAAGAATTTGGTGACATGTATGTAAACCTTCCTTTAATACTAACAATTATAATTTCATTGTTGTGGTCTACCAGAATAAAGAAGATGTTTTATTTGTCAGTATTTGGTAGCCAACATTTCGGCAATGGGCGGTGTTTGGCTGCCAGAAGTGCAAGGCATGAAAGTGGTAGGTGAATGTGGAAATATTTGCGTACGTAATATACCCGTAATAATCTCCCCTTCGCAGTTATTAGGGGGTTAGTATTAATTCCAATAACCTATAACTTTAATAACCTTTCAATAACCTTCACATGTTATATTTCGATATTATTCAAAGATTACTATGGGAGTTTTACGGGCTTAATAGATTACGCACATAGAGTTGTGTGTGTATTACCTACTCAAACATTTCCACGCAAATATTTCCTTGGTGAATGAGGGGAGGGTAGATAGCTGTCATTTTCTTTCTTTGTTAATCCGATTCTCCCCAGGCTGTTGACTTGGTACGGTGACTATGACGTATTTTATTGATAAAGAAGAATTATATATAGACACACACACTCATAATAGTCATATCCGAGAAATATCTTCACCATTTTTTTTTGTTATAAAATAAGCCCAAAATTTTATTTTTGGATAAAAATGCCAGACAGAGCACTTACAGAAGTTCATTGTGGATATAAATTAGTTGGAACAAAAGTACACAAAATAAGAAAAATCAAATAAATATAAAATTTAATGAGAAAAAAAACTGAAAATGAGAAAAAATTATGGAGACATCACATAAAAAAATCATTATAAAGAAAATGAGAAGAAATATACAAATTATACTGCACTTAAGCCTCTCCATATAAGGGCTGTCAAAACGGCTCGTTTGCTAAGTTAACGAGCCGAACACGAACAAAAATTTGTTCGTTCATTTTAGTTCGTGTTTGGCACGTTTTGGCAACATCACTGTTGACATTGGTAGATGGGTCATTGTCATAGCTAACCATTGTCTGAAGCTTCCCCTCGGAAACTAATGATTCTTTTAGGAAACGTGCCTTAACTACTACAATCACCTATCTAGGGAGCATATGTGTTCTCTGCTGAAAAAGTTATTAGAATAAACATATGCTGAAAAAGACGAATATTATGCCCAGCCCACTCAAATAGTTATTCTTAAGGCCAGTCTTCATTAGGCTCGGAAAGCAGAACGAACCATCCCTTTGGCAAATTCATTGGATAATCTCAAGTATAGTCTGTAACTGTTGTCTATGATTATTAAGCTATCTGAGTTAAATGAGAGCAAATAGAGGGAGTTAAGGAAGTCTATAATTGTCTATAATTTTTAATTGAAGCTATATAATTGTATATAATCAGAAGTGTTGGCTGGGCTAGAAGCATTCAGAAGTCTATAATTGTCTATAATTCTTAAGCTATCTGAGTTAAATGTGAGAAAATAGAGGGAGTTAAGGAAGATGTGCGGACATACCACTCTATCCCATCCATATACATATCTAACACCTACATTTCATTTTTTACATACATAGCACCTTAACTGTACATGAGATGGTTTGTTTCACTTTAAAAGTTAACATGGTTGTATTTTTTGTGTGATATGAAGGCTTTTAATGGTATAAATGTAAAAAAAAAAAGTTTAGGTGTTAGATATGTGAATACATTCGATTTAATTTTACTTATTTAATTTATTAACAATTAATGATTGATTCATATATTTTCAAATTAATCATAATTAGAAAATTTATATATTATTATTTAATGATTAATTAATTAATTTATAAGCATATTTTAATGTTTTAATTTATTTGATAAATATATAAGTTTTCAAATGAATAAAACTAATTAATTATTAATTAATAATAATTTCTTGCTTTAGAAATAATTTGTTTAATATAAAAAATTATTTTATCTTCTGTTACATACATAAATACTATACAGGAATATGATGTTCATTTTTCAAAAAATAGCTGCTCACAACTGTTTTCACACAGCTGCAACAAACAGACAGTCAGTTTTTCTACAGCAGCTTCGCCGAAGCAGCTGCCCCAAACAGGCCCTAAGAGCCTCTAAGGATAGACACAACTTTTGTAGCAATTCTCAAGTCATCGGCAGTTCAAGTGATAGCATCACCTCTGCTCTTTAGAGTCATTTAATATAATGTGGCTAAACAAAATCAAAATAAAAGCAACAAATAAATAATTATAAAACAATACGATAATAATAATAATAATTAATATAAATATTCTAAAATAAAAATAAATAACCAAATCATTTGATTCGGCTCAATTACAGCCATACATGTTAGATTTAGAAATACATAAGAATTTGGCAACATGTATGTAAATCTTCCTTTAATACTAACAATTTTAGTTTCGTTGTTGTGGTCTACCAGATTAAAGAAGATGTTTAATTTGTGGTTATTTGGTAGCCAACAGTCAGCAGTGCCGCAAACTCAACACGAAATTTCGGTTTGGCCGCCAGAAGTGCAAGGCACTGAAGTGGCTGGTGAATGAGGGTAGGGTAGATAGCGGTCATTTTCATTCCTGGTTAATCAAATTGCCTATTCAGAATGTTGACTTGGCACGTTGACTATCATGTACTTTATTTATTAAGAAGAAATATATATAGACGCACACACATTCAGAATAGTCAAATGGGAGAAATATTTTCACCGTATTTTTTTTTGTTAAAAAATAGCCCAAATTTTTATCTTTGGATAAAAATGTCCGTATGAAATGGATAGAGCACTTATATAGTAGTTCATTGTGGATATAAATTAGTTTGAACAAAAGTAAGTAAAATAAGAAAAATCACATAAACATAAACACAAAATTTAATGTGAAAAATTTTGAAAATGAGAATCAGTATGAAGAAATGACGGCGCATGTTCAATTATTTATATATATATATATATATATATATATATATATTGATGAGTAATATTATTTAAAAAACTAATTGACTACAAGGTTACAAAAAATTATAATCAATTAAAAGTATTAATTAAGAAAATAGAATAAAAATTATTAAATTAGATTTAAATGACGTTTTAATATAAACAATAATTTTCAAATCTTACCCTAACCCTTAACATGTTATGGCTACGTGATTAGGGTTGTCAAAACGACTCTTTGTTCGTGAACAGCACATGTTTGACTTGCGAAACAATTCAGCCGAATCTGAACACACTTTTTGAGCTCGAAATATAAACGAACCGAACAAGAGCAGTCATATCGAAGGTTGGTGATTCAACAATTTCAGTATGTTGGATAGCAGTGCCATTATGATAGTTGGGAGAATAAGGGTCTCAAAGGATATGCACAACTTCTGTAGCGATTATCAAGTCATCGGTAGTTCAAGTGATAACATCAACTCTTCTCTTTCGAGTTTTTTAATATAATGAGGCTAAAGAAAATCAAAATAAAAAGCAATAAATAAATAATCGTAAAACAATACGTTAAATATAATAGTAATTATTATAAATATCCTAAAATAAAAATAAAAAACCAAATCATCTGAGTTAACATAAGATAAATATAACTTCGTCCTTACAACTACTGTAGTCAAATAAAAAATAATTATGATCGATGAAGAGAAAAACATCACTAATATGTAATGACAAAATATTCTATAAATTTTGATTTAAACTTGCTATAAAGAATGAACGTAGGACATAGACTTGGTTTGTTGAGTCTAAGAAGGAATGGAGAAAGTGAAGAGAAAGCTTGTTTGGCCTAAGAGGGTAAATATATGTTTAAGAGAGCCACCCTAGATAATCCTTCAACTCAATTATAAATCTATAACCTTCTAGGTAATTTAACTTTTTTAAAATAACACTCCTCAATTATACATGAATTTAATTTAATAATTTTGAGTTAAAATGAATGTAACTCGGATGAATAAATTTGTATTTATCCTCAACACTTTGTTACAACGAATCATTTCAACAGCCGATACTAACTGTATCAGAACTCCAATCATAATGAGTCACTTGTACGATCCGACACCAGTAGTACATTATGATTGGAGTACTGATACAATTTTACATTAAAACTCGTGATATAATATTTTTTTCTGCACATTCAGATTTGTCAAAGGCGGACCAGTTTAGATCGTTAGCTAGAAGCTGTTCAAACTGCAGGCCAGTTGTACTTCTTTAAGGCATTGGGCGGATAATTTCAGCCGGTATTACTTTTCAATGGAAACTTGGTCAAGCATGGGCTCCTACGCAACCAAATCCATGAAAACATGAATGAACGGATTTGACCGTTAACTACACGGCCTTGAATTGTGATAGAAATGTATGTTCTAATTTTAATTAAAAAAACATTAATAAAAATACGTGCCAGCCGCTCGTGTACTATATAAACCTCCACCAATCAAGGAACCAAATTACTCAAAGGAACATTTCTTCCCCGCCATCTCTTCATCTCTTCCTCTCAGTGAAAGCCATGGCCTCACTCAGCCTTGCGGAGCGAAAAGCCTTCGACGACACCAAGGCTGGCGTTAAAGGCCTCGTGGACGCCGGCATTACCGAAATTCCTCATTTCTTCCGCCACCCGCCTGGTGTTATAGAAGTTCCTCAGCCGGCGTCTGCTGTCAAGGCAGAGATTCCGGTCATCGATCTCGGCATAATCAACGGAGGCTCGATGGGGCGGGACAAAGTGGTGGAGCTCGTGAGAATGGCGTCGGAGACATTTGGTTTCTTCCAGGTAGTGAATCACGGGATTCCTCCGGCTGTGCTGGACGAGATGCTGGAAGGCGTCAGAAGATTTAACGAGCAGGAGTTGGAGGCAAAGATGAAACATTACGTGCGCGATCAGAAAAGTCCTGTGTTCTTTAATAGTAATTTCGATCTGTACCAATCTAAGGTGGCCAATTGGAGGGACACTCTCTTCTGCACAATCAAGCCGGAAGCCGCCGCCAGGCCGAATGACATTCCGGAAATTTGCAGGTCTACACGCATTCTTAAATTGTTAGATTTAACCACGTCTTCCGCTCACATTTACTAGATTCGGATTTACATCGAACATGTGACACGACACGAGAAAACATGATAAAATTCAATAATTATTTAACAGTGTTAGATTTATTTATTTATTTATTTTGTGTTTGCTTGGATTTAAATTAAATTCATGACTAAATACCATTATAAGTATGCTATCAAACATGCCCAATAATCTTTTTAAAGTCACTTGAGAAATTGAGAAAAAATTATGGCAAAAATCCAATCAATGAAATGTTATGTATGCAGAGATATAATTATGGAATACGGAAGTCACGTCCAAAGGTTAGGACATCTTCTATTTGAGCTGCTATCAGAAGGACTTGGGCTGGAAACGCAACGTTTGAATGATTTGGATTGCGGGGAAGGATTGTCACTTTTGTGCCACTATTATCCACCATGCCCTCAGCCAGAGTTGGCTATTGGGATAAGCAAACATGCGGATCCTGACTTCTTAACTGTTGTTCTTCAAGATAGTATTGGTGGATTAGAAGTTCTTTATGAGAATCAGTGGGTTGATGTCCCCCCAATTCATGGAGCTCTTGTTATTAACATTGGTGATCTTGTACAGGTAACCAATTTAATTTTCTTAATTCCACTTTTAATTTGTAGTTTTATTTTGCCGGAGTTTACATACAAACCTACTGACTCCTATGCATTTATATATCTAATTACTAAACTTCATTTTTCTCTTTTCTTTTTTATTTATTTATAACTACCAAATATCGCTATTTTAATTTTAGGAAAGTAAGATATTTTTTTTCCTGCATTGGTAAGGTGACCTTTATCTAAAATAATGAACTTTAGGTGTTAGATATGTAAATACATACAAATTTGATTGGTATGTGTATATCTTCCTCTTGTTTTTTAGTTGGGGGGTAAACTTTGATTGTATATTTTTTTGTTTCTATGCTAAAACGAATACTGTGTAGAATTCAATTTTTTAAGTAAAATATATTAGAGTGTGATCGATATATGTAATAAAATAAGTCTGAATTTTACAAAATAGATATTATTTATAGCACTAACTGATTTTGCGAGAGAATTCAAGGTGATAGAGTGATTAATTAACATCTTAGCGTTGCATGAAGACCAAAAACACCAGAAAAATTTTTTAGGAGGTCTCGCCCAGTTGAAATAATTCACTATGAATGGTAAATGCACTGATCCATTCTGGTGTTATTGGTGATTTAACACATCGCTCAACTCTACGAATTCTGTGGTGTTATTTGCTTTGTACGCTGATGTTATTCTCGTGCTACCGTGCTGTTATTGGCGCCGCCTTTTGGATTTGCCTCGGCTGAGCCAACACCACAAGGTTAAGCATGAAATTAGGAGATTTTCTGATTTAACTAAATACATGAACTTCAAAAAATCATAAACCTTTTTTTTTCTAATAAAATTATGAAAAAAAACAGTCCAAACATAATCTAAGGGGCAAATCTTACGTATTTAAAAATCTAACACTCAAAATTTACACTTATAACACATTGATATTCAAAACCTATGAATGAAAAGTTGTATTTCATGTTAAAAAAGATTATTGATGTTTGTGAGAAAATTCATGGTGGTAGAGTGATTATTTTGAGTCTTAGCACTCAGGTAAATGAGACATAAGCAGGAGAAGACACATCAATTTTTACATCTCTTTTTTTTCTTAACATTTGGATCAAAGTATGATTGTTGATATAAAATATAAAATAATTTTATTTGACGACCTTTTTTTATATAATGATTATTTTTATTTTCGATCAAACAGCTGATCACTAATGAAAAATTCAAGAGCGTTGAACACAGAGTACGTACAAGCAAGATCGGCCCGAGAGCCTCGGTTGCGTGTTTCTTCTCCACACACTACTGCCCATCTGAGAGGACTTATGCCCCAATAAAAGAGTTATTATCAGCGACAGACCCTCCTAAATACAAAGAAGTTATTGTAAGTGAATACGAGCATTATTCTAGATCAAAAGGACTTGATGGTATATCTGCATTGGACAAATTTAGAATATGATCAGTTATCAAATATGTGACCTAAATGTGTGGTCATGTGGAAACTTTAATAATGTTATGAGATTATTAATAAATGAGTTGTGTCCTTTTAATGGTAAGTCTGCATTGGTCAAATTTAGGTTTTGAGCAATTAGCAGATATGTCATTTAAATGTGTGGTCTTGTGGAGACTTTAATAATGTTATGAGATTATTAATATATGAGTTGTTTGGGTTAATTGTTTTTGAAATAATTGTGATATATAGTACTTAAAATAATGTTATATGGATTATATTTGCTTCTACATACATAGCTTGGATTACTATGTATTTACATCTACATCTAACACCCATATTTCACTTTTTTGCATTTATATCATACAAAATGTTCATATCACATAAAAATATTACTATTTTAAATTTTTTAAAAAGTGATACATCTTTTTTATGCGTAGGTAAGGTGGTATGTACTTTAAAACTAAATTTTTGGTGTTAAATGTGTAAAGACTTGCCATTGAGTGGTTTGTTTGTGAAACTTTCATATTATAAATGATTTAGTGTTGATTTACTCTTAGATGGAATGCGTTATTGTAATGATGAAAGAACTATGTATTATTATAGTCATTAGGTCATTTATGTTGAGATAATCTTGACATAACTTAATTTTATTGTGTATGGCTATATGTATATATATGGAATAATTACCATCACATTCTAAGTAGCCTCAAAATAGTATTAAAATCATTAATAACAATATATACAATTCTGCCATTCTAAAAAAAGAACTTAATTATGCCCAAGGAGTGATAAATTTTCTAGCAGGGAGCACCTCATAGAAGTAATAATGTTTTTGAAATTAGCTCGTGCGCAAACCGGCTCAGCTTTGTCTGAACCTTTATTCAAACTAAGCTTGAACTAGATTTGAACTAACATTCATATTTCAAACTAAGATTCATTAGACAACCGTTGAAAATTTTTCGAAGAGTGGGCTCACACTTTTGTTTGTTTTGCTGAGGTTTTACTCATGCAGAAAGAAAATTGCAAAGAAATAGCCATCATGAGCACTTTCATGTATATAACCAATGGAAACTTTCAATGATATGAAATCTTAGAACCCGACTAGTGAGTTAAAACAAGCATCAAATACAATCCAAGTAGCGAGAGTTTGACCGCTCTTTTATAAATTAGAATTTGTGATATAAGTCTTTGTTACTTATGAAAATTATAGAGCTAAAATTTTTGTTCTCAAGTAAATTAGAACAAAAATTTATAATTTTGATTTTCTTTGAAGTATACTCTTTCGAATTTTATTAATAAATCAAATAAATGGTTGACAATTATTTGAATTATTGCTAAAAAAAAGACAACTTGATCGGGCGTAATGTCAAATTTTTTTTTTCTAGTGAAATAATCACTTTGTATTTCTTTCAAAAAATTTAAAATTAATTTAGAAATTATATGGACTATGATATATTTAAATTTATGTTTGACATGATGTGTTTAATTTTGATTAGATAGATGAAACATGACCAAACGATGGGCTTGCAAATACATTTGGATGCAGTTGGCATTCATTTGATTGGGCTAACGGCGACTATCATCTGACTTGTCTTATTGATAGGAGTCAAGATTTATAATTTTTATAAATAACAATTTATGAGTCATTTATGATAGTGGGTTGTTCGTCATAGAGACAACAACAACAAAGCCTTAATCCCACTACGTGGGGTTGGCTACATGAAGTGGGGTTGGCTACATGAATCCTTTTTCTCCATTGCGTCCTATGTAGTGTCATATTTTCATTTAGTTCTAGTAAATTAAGATCATTTTTTATACAATAAGCCCAATTCTTCGTAGGCCTACCTCTACCTTTCTTACACAAGTCGAATCTAAAACATCTACTCTCCTAATCGGATCATCACATGGTCGACCATCACATCATCACATGGTCGACGTTTAATGTGACCAAACCATCTAAGACGGCTTTCTCTAATTTTGTCCGTCACAAGAGCTACACCAACCATATCACAGCTATATTCATTTCACATTTTGTCTTTAAGTGTAAAGCCACTCATCCACCTAATCATTCTCATCTCGTCAACATTTAACTTATTATTATGCTTCTCTTTGAAAGGCCAACATTCAACTCCATAGAGCATTGCAGGTCTCACCACCATCTTATAAAATTTTCCTTTCAATCTAAGAGGTACTTTTCTATCGCACAAAAGGCCCGAAGCATTCCTCCACTTCAACCAACTTGAATTCTACTATTAACATCCCCATCTATATCACCATCACTTTGAACAACGGACCCAAGATATCTAAATCGTTCACACCTTTTAAAAATTTGATCACCCAAAATCACACTTCTGTCACGAGCTACTACTACTAAAATTACATTCCTTGTATTTAGTTTTAGTTCTACTTAAATGAAGGCCTTTCGACTCCATTGTAGACCTCCATAATTCAAGTTTTTCTTGGGCTTTTTCTCTCGTTTTATCCACGAGAAGGATTTCATCAGCAAAAAGCATACACCAAGGTACATCCTCTTGTAGATGTCCAGTAAGACGATCCATAACTAAAGCAAAAAGATATGGGCTTAAAGTCGATCCCTAATGTGATGTAACAGAAATAGGAAAATATTTGGTCAATCCTCCTTCAGTTTGAACACAAGTAACAGCACAAGTAACTTTGGTCAATCCTCCTTCAGTTTGAACACAAGTAACATCTATAGTATACATATCTTTAATGACTTGAATATAAGTCATATCAACACATTTCTTCTCAAGAACTCTCAAAAGGATATTTCTTGGAACCTTATCGTAAGCTCTTTCTAAATCAATAAAAATCAAATGTAGATTCTCCTTATTATCTTTGGATTTCTCCATCAAACCTCTTAATAAATGTATAGCTTCTATAGTAGACCTGCCTGACATAAATCCAAATTGATTGTGAGAAATCTTTGTATTTCTTCTTAACCTATGTTCACTCACCCTCTCCCATAACTTTAAAGTATGACATATCAATTTAATTCCTCTATAATTTACACACTATCATGCATCCCCTTTATTCTTAAAAATGTGGACCAAAATACTCTTCATCCACTCCTCAGACATCTTTTTAGTTTTTAAATTAATTTTAAAGAGTTTAGTAAACCAAGAATCTCCCAAATCTCCTAACAATTTCCACACTTCAATTGAGATATCCTCAGGTCCTACAGACTTTCCATCCTAGGTTTTCTTTATTGACTCCTCAACTTCTTTTTTACTAATGTGACGGTAAAAATGAAACATTTTATTATTATTCACGATATTAAGATCACTAAGGTCGATCGTAATTCAAGAAACGTTTTAATATTGTTTGTTATAGAGAGAGTATTTTAATACAGTAATAGCCAATTTCATCATAATATGCTGCAAACCCTAAATTTGATTCCTTTATCTTCTAGATATTACAACTCATAGATATATATGACTAATAAACCATTAATATGTTTGATTTTATCTAATCCAAAAGCTATTTATTTTATCAAATTAAGATCACTAACAACATATTAAGGTTGCACCAATATGTTTCTATTCTTTTGGTAAAAATAAATATGATTTATTCTTCAAATCAAACTATGAACGTTCTTAATATCATTTTTGGTCCATTTAGTTTAATAACCTTAAAATGTTAGTAGGTAATACATTTCATATTTTGATGCAAAAGTTCACATTAGAGGCTACTTAGCCGACTAATTTGTTCATGAACTCAGTTGGTTGATCTGGTGGGGTAAAATTGCATCATTCAATCACTTTTTTCTACCAATTAAGAGTGCAATTAGCTTCATTCATACTTAAAACGAATGATACTTATTTGGGTTTAATTCAAAAAAAGGAAAAATACTTTTCAGTAGTCACTTTTATTTTTTTACGACTATATTCAATGAGTTTATATGAGCCACAATGAAGTAGGAACTCACTAACATTTGATGCCAACCAACAGCAAAAACGTGACATCCACTACCGATCAATGTTTGTTTACTAAGTAACTCGATTCTCAACTTTGAAAGCAGATTCATTGTGTTGATTCCCTTCTAATGCACATTGTCAAACTTTTAGTAAATATAAAAAATTTATTTTTCAAAAGCAATCAATGTAGATTTATAAGAGACACCAACAATAGATTAGTGCCAACATTTCCCATAGAACATCGTTGGATGCTTGCCAAACTTAGATATACATGGTATTTGTTAACTGTCAATTTTTCATGTCTAGCTGCAATCTCTCCTCGCTCCGCAGTAATAAAGAAAGCAACCAAGTTGATTCTCTCCTAATGTTCATGGTCCCTTCAAGTATTGATGGTCATCCCCCCAAGGGATGAGTTTGTCTAATCAATTTTCTGTCAAGTAAGGGCATAGTCAAATGTGTATGTTATTGATGATCACATACACATTTCAAGATACGTTTTTATAACAATTAAATTGTCCCATACTTATTTTTCTTCTATATATCAACTTATAAATTTAAGAAAGTCCATGAATAAAAAAAATTAATCCTAAGGCTACTACCACCATTTGGATCCTCCAATAAATTAACGCTTGTGAGTCGTCTTAGGAGTGCTCCATAACGAGCACGCTTAACTTTGAAGTTTCTAATGAAATTTCATTGTTACCCCATAAAATCCATCGATGTTTAAGAGTTAAACTTCATTCTATTTAAGTGGTTTCACACCACTAGTGTACCACCTTTTACCACGCACACAAGCATGTGAAAATCTATTATATCTGCAATTCCATTCTCTAATGTTGGTGAAACTTTGTTTCTCTTACAACATCTTCCAAAATGAACCAGTTTCTAGCCTAACATTTGAAAATTTTCTATATATGGTCATGACATTATAATAGGCAAGAAGTACATAGGTACCATTCAATTCTTAAATATTTACATATCTAACAACTAATTTTCAATTTTTACATATATGGCGATCTTTTCTTACCTATGCATGAAAAGTGTATTTCTCTTTTTAGATGTTTGGCACGCCACCAACAAATTTTCATTATCAGGCACAAATTAAAGGACATGATGCGAATCTCGAGGCAATCTTTTGAGAAAAAAACATTAGAACTTCAATTAAGAGACATCCAGAGCTCCGATTTCAGCAAACTTATAGTCAAATTGACCGGTTCAATGAGATGAATCCAATGATATAAAAACTAGTCCAACACGAGTCAAATCAAGTCCAAATCAAGTCATTAAACTACACTTGAAAGATTTCTAGACACATTTGAAATGTCAAACTGATGGCGAATCTAGCAAGTTTATAGTTAAATCAAGTGTCTCGACAAGACAAATCGAACGAGCCCAAGATTGCTCAACTCCAGCATCGTTAAGGCACTCAAATGCCCATCAAATGTTGTTTGATTGACGAAAGCTCTCCGAACCGTCTGATCAAAGTGGATAATATTCCTGCATTAATTGCACATAAATAACTATAAATAGGGTCACATCCCTCTCATGAGGGAAGCAGCTTGAGCCTTGAGAAAGAATTTGAGGCTTTGAGAAGGAGGTGAAGTTCAATATCATTCTTACCATTGTCGTTCGCCGTCGGACCGCCAACCTTCGATCGTCTTCGACCACCATTGCGAACCACCCATTTCAACCACTGTCGATCACCGTCGACAACCACCAACTGTCGTCGACCACTGTCGACTGCCAATAACAAGCACTGATCGTCTTCGCCCATTTTTTACCGCCGTCGAACACCAGCAATCATCGTCCACCACCACCGATCAGGCGCCGCTAGTTGACACTGTAATTTGAAAAATATAGTAACCCTTACCCATCTGTGGGACAACGAGTCTTTGTAATCACCAATCAATAGTGGATTTTATAAACTGGGCTAGGTCTTGTGGGTTTTTCCGTTTAGGAGATTTCAGGTGTCATTAGTGGTAGTTTTTCTTTCACTTGTGTTTGTGTGTTGAATTCTCATGCAAAGCCAAGACGATAATCCATTATTCTACCGCCGTGAATTTTCTAGCACATATCAGTTTGGCACCATCTGTGGGAAGCTCGCAAGAGTAACGTCAAAGACAATAATAAATCTTTGTAACGAAAAAAAATCTGAAAAATAGAGGAATCATGACCTTCTTCCCCAACCTAAAACCTGCTGGGGGGCAATGGGTGGAAGAGCTACACATTGTCCTTTGGATCTATCGCATCACCTCGCGAACCCTAATCAGGGAAACTCCATCAAACTTATGTTTCGACACCAAGACTATCAGCCCAGTTGATATCAGAGTTCCAAACCCACGAGTTAAGAATTTCGACTCAGAAAACAACGAGAAAAAGCTACGACAAAATTTGGATCTCCTCCCAGAAACACGCGATGTGACCCACCTTAGAGCAGCTTTCTTTCGCCAAAGATTCGCTCGCCACTCTCAATTAGAGAGTCAAACCTCAACATGTCTCCATCGGTGACTTGGTCTTGCGTAGTATTGAAGTTGTTGGTCGTGGTCCACAATGCAACAAACTATCCCCTCTTTGAGAAGACCCATATATCGTGGATGCCATGATCAAGACTGGAACCATCACTCTCAAAAATTCAGATGAGAACTTACTGCCCCAAACTTAGAATGCAGAGACTATTCGCAAGTGCTACCAGTCACACTCCAGTCATGAAGTCCATGTAAGTTACTGTATATTATTACATCACATATTGCATACATTGTCAATATATCTCAAATTCTTGTACATGAAGGATAACTTCAGAAAGTGGAACGACTCATTCGCGAGTCACTTCATGCTCTCGACCCAAGAAATACACAACTTCAGTTGTTTCTTAGTCAGAGCATGATCGATCACAGAGGAATTTGATCTAACCTCTTTCATATGAGTTAACATCGCCGATTTTTTACTCCGATAAATAAAGCTGGATAGGTTAACGGTCCTTGGTGGGCTACATCTTTCCGTAAGCGAGCAATACTCCAAAAAACAAACTCAGATAGGTTAATAAATCCTCAACGTTCTTTCGTTGACTCCTCCTATAAAGGAGTGTAAACAAGTCGAACACGAGCGAGCCAAGGCTCGGATTGTACTCGGCTCATTTATATTTCGTGCTCAAAAAGTGTGTTCTTGTTCGGCTCGTTTGTTTAATGAGCCGCCGAACAGGAGTAGTTCAAGAACAAAGAGTCGTTTTGACAACCCTAATAACATAGCCTTAAAATATTAAGGGTTGAGGCAAGATTTAAAATTATTGTTTATATTAAAACATAATTTGAATCTAATTTAAAAAATTTTAATATTTTTTTTAATTAATACTTTTAATTGATTATAAATCTTTACAATTTTGTAGTCAATTAATTTTTTTAAAAACACTACCCATCAACATATATATATATATATATATAGAGAGAGAGAGAGAGAGAGAGAGAGAGAGAGAGAGAGAGAGAGAGAGAGAGAGAGAGAGTGTGTGTGTGTGTGTGTGTGATAGATGGAAATAATTAATCAGTAGTATTTTGAGCCAAAACGAGTCAAACACGAACGACCAAATCTTTGTTCGTGTTCAGCTTGTTACCTTAGCGAACGAGCTGAACGCGAGCTATTTGCGAACAACGAGCCATTTTGGCAACTCTACTTCCATACAGAATAACATCATTGAGTAATAGTCTGATGCACAGTCTCAGCCAAGTGAAATGTCGCTAGAAACCTTCTCACAATTAGAACTTCTAAATAATATCTGGTATACATTGCCACTATCTAAAAAAAAAGGAAAACAAAACAAAAACAACATGTCTCAACATTATCACAAAAGTAATACTCAGGGGGCAAATAGCCAACAAAATCAAGTAACATTGTTTTTATCTTTTATAGTTTTTAAAATGGGTTAATTACAGAGCCTTTTATAGTTTTTAAAATGGGTTAATTACAGAGCATAAGAAATATTGCTTTTTACAAATCAACACCTAAGTGATTGTTTGAACTATCAAATTCATGTGTTTATGCATGTCACAATCAAACCATTGTGAATTTGTTTAAAATAAAAAATAGGCTGGGGTTTTTTCATGACCTTCGATATTTGAGTGAGTTTTTGAAAAATGAATGAAAGGGGGTGTCAGATTTGTAAACAACAATGTTTTGGGTGCTATGTATGTAATCACCTCTTTGAACATAATACGTGTTTAGGTTGAGCCAATCTTTAAGAATATCAAAACTTTGGTAAAAATATTTTATAAACTAAGATATAGGATATGCTTTGTACAAATAAGATAAGTTAGTATTTCAAATTACAATGTACATTAAATATGCTAACTTTGTCATTTCAAAAAAAGGGGGAAATTTAAAATCGATTCCAAAATCTGGTCTCAAGTCAAGAATTATATAGAAACACCTAAACGAAGGAAGAAAAGGAGCAGATTGATTCAACCAGTGGGGCGCTTCATATTTTTAAAAATTGCATTTTTTTTTTCTTTTTAAAATGGGGCATTTACATACATACCACCAAACTTTATCAATTTACACATCTAACATCTACATTTTTATTTCGCATTTTTATTAAATAAATATTTCATGTCACATTAAAAATAATTTTTATTTTAACTTTAAAGAGTTGAATTAAAATTTAGGTGTGTTACAAGGGTTGTATATGAAACAATGCAGTCGAACCCAACTAGTTCATAGTTATTTAAATTATTAAATAAAAAAATTTGAACATAGGCTAACTGGTTTATTAATAATCTCAACAAGCTTATTTATTGTTAAATGTTTTAAAATTATATAATATTTCATTTAAATAAATTTTAATTTTCTACAAGTAATTTAATTATAGATACTATAAATTAGCATATATACAATGAAATTTAATGTAATTAATATTAACTACAAATTAATATTTTATTCTATATGAAAAATCAAGGAAGCATTAAAACTTTTAGCTTATTTATTGATATAAACAAGCTAAATACATATCATCAAGTATGATTGCTAAAAAATGTAAGAAAGTAAAGTATTGGCATATATGTGAAAAGTCCGCACAAGCTCGAACAAACAACTTATGATTCAAACAAGCAAAATATAATCATGACATGCTCAACTGGACTCGGCTCAATTATAGCCATACATTTTAGATATATAAATCCATAAGAATTTGGCGACACGTATGTAAATCTTCCTTTAAGACTAACAATTATAATTTCGTTGTTGTGGTCTACCAGATTAAAGAAGATGTTTAATTTGTGGGTATTTGGTAGCCAACAGTCAGCAAAGCGCCACAATACTCAACAAGAAATTTCGGTTTGGCCGCTGGAATTGCAAGGCACGAAAGTGGTTGGTGAACGAGGGGAGGGTAGATAGGAGAAATTATTGCATACGGACACCGTCTGCATCTCTGCATGAGGTGTTCGATCCTGACCGTAGATCACAGTGATCTACGATCAGAATTATTTTCGTTTTGTTTTAAAAAATTTAAGTGGGGCCCACCGAAATACATCATAACCGTAAATCACCTGAATTACGGTCAAGATAGGACACCACAAGCATGCTGCATGCGGTCTGATCCGTATATATATATATATA